CATGCCGTTGTAGCTGCCCTAAGCTTATCTACCACCAGCTGACCTAATGTGATTGCTATTCATAAATACGACGCATGAATGTTATACAAACGGAACAAAATATTGAAATTAGGCGAAAACATTGCGCACTTGTCAGCGCCATTGTAACACTTATGTTTAAGCGATTTGTTCTCCCCAGAATTGCTACTATTTTTTCGTTATTCGCTATCGTTGCGTACATGGCTAGATAAGCTTATTACGTGCAGCTAGCATGCGAACATTTATTTATCACTTTGTGCACGCTGCCCAAAGCGCATCCACAGACCAGTGATCAAAGTACACAGTGACACAGTGCACCGACACATACACACGTCACTCACGCACCTTACGCGATCACGTAATAACCCCACGCACCCGGGCATGCATACGCACACACATACACTCTCTCACACACACACACACACACACACACACACACGCACGCACGCACACACACACACACACACTCTCTCACACACACACACACACACACACACACACGCACGCACGCACGCACGCACACACACACACACACACACGAGTAAAACGCACGCCAAGTCAGGGTTCTCCAAGGGCACTTATAGCCTGGCGGCCCACCAGGCTATCGTCGAGCCCCGCCATCCTAAAATGCACCCGCCACGCTAAATATAATAGCCGTCATCACAAGAAGTTCAAACAATTAATACACGTTGGTCTCGATGCTACGGGTACGGCAGTCCCACACACAAGTACAACCTGTCACCTTATCCCTATCCCTATCCCTATCCCTAACCCTAACACTAACTATAAACCGACTCGGCTATCTTATATACGCATGTTATAGTACCAAAATTAATCTATGGTGTATAACCTTTTGCTTTAAATATTTTGCATCTGAACTGACAATCAATCCCAACCAACTGGTGTAGGCTAGCTGGCACAATAATGTTCATTTTCATACTTCAAATCCGAGTGTTTTCTAGCTCATCAAGAAATCTTAATCGTGAATTAAATCGTGAATTAATTTCCAACGGCATTATTACGGGGCAGGTAACCCAGTCTAACACGAGGTAGAGTAGACTGGTACACTTACCGACCACTCCTGCCATTGTGAATGGTGACAATTTTTTTTATATTTATTTATGAGAGGTGAACTCGATTTGGAACCAGCAAACCAGCAAGTTCACCCCTCCATTTTGGTATTTTTATTCCATTAATTATTTTGAATTTTCCGATGGCTTTGCCCATGCAAAACAAACATTTTCACCCCACATGCAGTGCTTCAAATTTACACACAGAGTGTCCCAGATTGCATCTCAGAGCTTCTACAATTCAGAAAATTTCCGGGGGGCATGCACCCGGACCCCCTAGCAGTGAGTAGCACCCCCATGCTATAATTTAAAGCTTGGAGAACCCTGCAAGTCATGGGCAACGCTGACTGAGCAGCGTCAGTATAAAGTCAGTGCGTTTGCCGTAGAGCATTACCGGATGCATTTTGAATAATTACTCGCACCGCGCAACGCTAAGCCGCTACACATATTCTCACCGATAGACACGATCAGATTATCTCGCCGATTCGAAAGCCGCCTCGGACGTAAGTACGTTGAACTCCTCGCGCGAATTGCTTAAAACATCATTAAATTCGCCGCCGCTTACCCGATATGTTTTCTAGTTCTTCCTAATGTCGCAACAGCGAGCGAGTATTTTAAAGGAATTAATGCCCAAGGAGGGCACTTAGGCTCTACTTGGTCAGAGTGCTGCTCGGCTATATAGCTAGCTCTTTATAAAGGTCAACACTCAACATTGCAAGGCAGTATGAAGCCATACATAAACGGTAATTTTCCTCTCGGCGCGACCACACGCCGCTGGGAGAAGTTGGCCACACGCCGCGACTCCATTTACTGCCGTCAATTTTGAATAATTACGCGGCAATTTAGGAAAACAAATTGTTTTCCACACTTAATGGTAAGCGACATCAAGGATGTCAACGTAAATTTTTCTCAACGGTATTTTAAGCAACCGCGGGGTTTGCAACGCAAACTTGATGGTCCCTTTTTTCGCGGACTGGTCGCTGCTGATCGAATTTGGAGAGAGCGCAGCGTAAATCATAACACAAATTACAAAGTTCGTTAGCCATGTATATCTTTAGTGGCGAGATTAAAGAGATAAGAGAGGGAACGATATAGAGATAGGGAGAGAGGGAAAGGGAGGCAGTAACCAGCTTCGGGAAGAGAAGCTAGTTGGTCACGTGAGCGGATATACGCGCCACGGCAGTGCACACCTGAGTTTAGGTGCGATTAAGCTTGAACAGTTAGCATGTTTGGACGTGTCTTATTGGAATAAAGAGAAAATGACTAGATATTCAGTATATTTTTCTTGCGTTAATATCTTAAACATGCATGTGAAGTCAAATCGTAGGGCGACCTGAGCAGGGCTTAACAGTTAGTGTCTTAAGCATGTACAACAAGCATGTTAAGTAATACACGTGAGTAATAACAATAATAATTATGTCACTAACAGCATCTTGCAATACATCCCGGCAGCGTGATGCGCGTGGATAGTGTCGTGGACTCTACCCTCTACTATAATGTACGGTGATATTCAGTACATTTGTACAGGTAGAGGCGTTACGCAACTTGCTGACTGTACGTTGGCAACAAGACGTCTTATGTTTCATTCAGCCGGCGTTCAGCCGTAATACGATTACGAGCCCGGTAGAAAGTCTTGACGATAGTTTGATTCTAAAGCGAAATTTTTTCGGGCGTCATGTTCAACCATCTGTCTTCACCTCTACGTCTGGTACACGCGTCGGGTAACGTCGGCTCCCGCGACGCTGCGTCTAGCCGCAAACTACACCGACGCACGGATCTTATAAGTAAACTAAGTGCACTTAACTGTGAAGCGCTGAGCAACCTTGTAAAAGTCAGCGGGTAATTTAATTATTGACAATAGGATCGGCGCGTGTGTGGAAGTGACGTAACAAGCTTCACGGCTACAGGGATAGAAGAAGCATTGGGCGGGCGCGTTGATTACAGGGGCGCTTTTTGCTTGGTCCGGAAATGCCGCCTCGTTACCACCTTGCGAGCGTATACGCCCGCGGATTACCAGACTATGCGTTCAGCACGACTTTGTGCAATTAGCGAGCGAGAGCGGCAGCAGAAGTCTGAGAGAATGAAAGAGAGAGAGAGAGAGAGAGAGAGAGGTGCAGCGGCGAGCGAGGACTACACCGGGCAAACCGCCACACGCGCATGCGCCAATTACACGAGACTCAGTACATCCCGTAGCTCCGGTGATGATTTTTATTGCGCGTGGGAAAACGTTTCGTTGTCGTTTTCCCTATTTGGTAATAACATCGAACACAATTATCCCAATATAAACTCATTTATTCCACCTCGCGCTCCAGCCACTGTGGCGTCTCTCTTTCTTCGTCCTTCCTACAGCGGAATATGCGCAATGGGGCGAGGAGCGTAAGGTAGAGAGGAAGCGAGAGGCCGAGGGAGAGGCGAGAGCAGATACAGGGTGCGAGAGAAAAAAGCGAAGATAGAGAGGTATATATATATAGAGAGAGAAATAGATAGAGAGAGAAAGGATCGAGAGAGAGAGAGAGGCGAGAGAAAGAGAGAGGGGGGAGAGAGAGGAGGAGAGGAGGGGAGGAGAGAAGAGGTAGGAGAGAGAGAGACGAGAGAGAGAGAGAGAGAGAGAGAGAGGAGGGGGGGAGAGAGAGGAGATAGAAAGAGAGAGGAGAGGTAGAGAGAACTGGTTATAGAGTCTATAACGATTCGACTTGCTTCCCGCATCCGCACAACACCGTCGACCGCATGCAGACGCCGCGGCGCCTCGTTAGCTTCGGCTGCTCCCTGATTGACACGCGCGCGCTGTCCGCATCCCGCCGGGTAGACACGTCGCATTCAATATTTAGCGAGGCCGACTTAATCAGTGCATAGTATTACCCGAATAATATACGCGCGGCGCAGTGCACTGGCGCTCCTCCGGCGATTAAATTGTTCTGTTAGCGATACGGCATGACGGTTTTCATCGGATAATTGAGGAAGACGCAGAGCATCGACATATTACCTCACACAGCAGTGTTTCAGTAACACGATCTGGTTTATACCAGGATGAAATAGTGTGTAGTAATACTAGTAAATGATAATAGTAATAGCAGTAATATACGTGCGGAGCCACAGGAAGTGAGTGACGCACTATAAGTTATATAGCAGATAACCACATCTTTTAGGTAGAATTGTGCCAGTTAGGCTGTTTGACTGAAACATTGTCAGATTATCATCTATCAGAAAATGAAAGTATTACACGTGAGCAAAGGTCGTGAAGTTCGTGAGCGCCTGTTCAGATGCTGGAACACAACATGGAGTTCACAGTGGGTAGTAGTCCAGAACACGCATTATATATGCCACGGAACTATACCTACGTTTCGCAATCGCGTTTACGTGCACGCGTGTTTGTGCTCGAAGTGACTATATAATGGAATATATATGTTTGTTCGTTAGAGGTGCTGGGATATAAAATACGGAGACGTAGTGCATCTGCGTATATTTGCAAACACATTTATTTTCATCATTGCGCAGTAGTAGTGTATCGACTATACGGGTGATCTGCTGCAATATTATGACGTTTGCATTAACGCTGATAACTAAATTAATCGATCGCAACGCAGCGAGAAATTCGTGGGCGTCAAATGTTCGTCAGGTATTCCATCTGCTGTGAATGGTGGCATGGACGATCTTACGAGGAAGAGACGGGGCGGGGAGGGAGGATTTCAGAGAGCGATAAAAACACGTAGCGCGCAGGAGTCCTATTATGCGTGATTGCTCAGGAAATGCGTACTGTAGGGACGTAGCTTGTATGTTATAATTTATAGTAGAAATAACCAAGAAGACATATAGAATTTGTGTTCACTTAAAGAAATATATTGTTTACAACCATAACAGTCGCCATCTCGTCGTCACGTCCTGTTCATTTCACCCGTCTCGTTCAAATGCTCCCCCGTCCCTTATATATAGACCCCGCATCCAATCACGGCCCAGTTCCACTCTACCCCAGCCAATCACACACACCAACACTGTCGTATTTGAATTATTACGCGCGAAATGTACAGATGGCCAGCATCTGTACAAGTCTCAACCTAAAGTCCGTAACCTATCTGCCTAGTACCCAACCTAACTATTTCTAACCTATGTGCTAAACGCCCAACCCTGCTCTATGTACAACCAAACTATCTACGATTACTAATTCAATGTAACATCTGTACAACATGTGTAAAAGAAACGTTACATTTATCTCCCCCTTCATCAAAACGATGAACCCATCATCGATTCAGCGCCCCGCGGATTCTAAATTCCTCTTTAACTAACTCCCCAAGCCCCCATATTTCTAACACACACACACACACCCACACACACACACACACACACACACACACACACACACACACACACACACACACACACACACACACACACACACACACACACACACACACACACACACACACGTAATTCAAATTTTGAGAGATTTCATTATAAGAGCTAGATGTCGGGTCCATGGGGCCATCGGCGGGATATCGTAGCAGGAGCGCTGTCAGGCGCGACAGGCGCCGGGCAGTTTTAATCAACGCTGTAATCGTGTGTAAGTTCGTGTTCGCACGACATGATCGGTCCTAGGACTCACGTCGGGGTACAAGAGTCGAAACGTTATTGAACCGGCATTTCTTGTACGCAATCAAACCAAAGGGTTACGTTTAGCTAACGATGTCGGTATATGGTTAGGAAACATCATCATTGTAACATGTTTTGATTACAAATTTCCTTTCAATCAGGTCGTTACACTAATCCCACGCGAGTGCTGGCGTGGGAGTTGTTCACACTTACCGGGAAATGAGGAGGGTTAGTAAGACCTACGAATTGCTTTGAGAGAGCAAGCGAGCTCTAGCGTTAAAGCACAGCCGATTGTGGTATTGTTCGCATGAGTGGCACATGCGGGTGTCCTGAAATTGTTAGATCCTGTTATAGGGAGACGACAGTTACATCTTAGGAGGCAACGGGAACGTGTGTGTTATTGTGTTATTGTATGTGTTGTTGTATTGTATTTCATTGTGTTATTGTATGGTTGTTGTATTGTATTTCAGGTATGCAGTATGTATTATGTATTTATGGAATATTTTGAGTTTTGGGGGATGTATTTCAGGTTATGCAGTGCTGTATTTATTGAGTTGTTGTGTTGGCATTGGGTTGGTGTAGTTTGTGAATTGTTTTCTCTCTTTCAGGTTTCGTTCCAGGGTTTTTAAGGAATTGTATTTATTGCACATTGAGATGGTTTACTTGGCAATTCGTGTCAAGTATGGTGTTATATCATTGTGGTCAGTGAGATTTTTGTTGGCGGCAGTGTGAAGCCATAGCGTTGGGATACCATGGTGGCTGGCTTTGTACATAGGTAATAGGTTGTGTTAAAATTGTGTACAGTTATTATGTGGGAGGGGGGATGTGTTCAATGAAGCAGTTTTGTAGACGGTATGATGGACAAAGACGGAATTTATTTATTGTTGGCTCTATTTCGTCAGGAACAGGTGTGTGTGTGTGTGGTGTTTTGGTG